TCCCGTTAAGATTTACAGCCTAGGAAACCCTGTACAGGGTCGATATGGGTCGGAACCGACTCAAGAGCACTTAACAACAACTACAAAAAACCAATAGAGACTTACAAAAATGGAAGAATATACCATGTTCCTGGATAGGAAGACAACATTGTGAAAACGTCAATACTACCTAAAGCAATCTAGAGATATAATGGAGTCTCAATCCATATTCCAAAGACATTCTTGGGAAAATGATTACAAATTTCATATGGAAAGGAAAAAGACCCAGGATAAGTAGAGCACTGGTTAAGAAGAACAAAGTTGGATGCCTCTCACTCCCTGATTTCAAAGTTTACTATATGATTACAGGGGTCAAAGCAACCTGGGACTGGTACATAGGTTAATGGAATAGATTTGAGAATCCAGAAATTAACCCATCCACCTACAGCCAACTGATCTTTGACAAGCAGCCAAAGTACATTGAATGGGAAAGATACCATCTCGTCAACAAATGGTGCTGGCAAAACTGGAAATCAACTTTCAAAAGAGTGAAACAAGACTTAAACCTCACACCATATACAAAAACCAATTCAGTGTGGATTAAAAACCTAAATGTGAATCCCAGAATTATAAAGGTCATCAGTGAAAAATTAGGGACAAATTTAAGGCCTCTAATATAGGCTACACATAGACTATCAAATATTGCAAAAACAGCATAAACAGAAGAAGACAGAATAGATGATTAGGACATACTAAAAATTAGAAATGTATGTGCGTCAAAAGATTTCACCAAAAGAGTACAAAGGGAGCCCACAGAATGGAATAAAAAAAAATGTCTTCATTGCCTGGGTCACTTCCAGTGCAGCCCTGGACTGTTTGTGCAAGAATTCATAACTTATTAAATCATGAGGTTTAAAAAATCTTGATGAAGAAATTAATTGTATATTACTGTCACCAAGTACATGAGACTTTTTCTAAACTACCTTTTGATTATCTGCTCTCTCAGAATCCAAAAAGACTCCTACAGAGAACAGTCATATCCCCATCCTGACATTCCTGCTTGTGAAGACTTACCTTGTGATTAGGCAAAATTGGTTTATGACATCAAACTACTAAACCAGATGTACACTCAGTAAATACTGTCTAGTCATGCACCAATCTATTTAGATTCGAAATTACTTTTTAAAAAGACGTTGTTTCTTTTAATTTATTATAGTACAAATAATATAACCCACCTGTATTTTCTTTCAGTGGTGTGACTTAGTAGGTTCTTTGTTCTCATGTTGCTGTTATTAGATGCCATCAAGTCAGTACCAATTCATAGCAACCTTATGCACAACAGAACGAAACACTGTCTGGTTCTGTACCGTGCTCATAATTGTTGTTATGTTTCAGCCCATTGCTGGTGCCACTGTGCCATTCCATCTCGCTGTGGGTCTTTCCCTTTTTCTCTGGCCCTCCACTTTACCAAACATGATATCCTTCTCCAGGGACTGGTCCCGCCTGATAATATGTCTGAAGTATGAGAGATGAAATCTGGCCATCCTCGCTTCCAGGGAGCATTCTGGCTCAGATTGATTTGTTTTTTTGGCAGCCCATGGTACTTTTAATATTCTCTTCCAACTCCATGACTCAAATGCATCAATTCTTCTATGATCTTCCTTATTCACTGTTCAGCTTTCACTTGCATATGAAACTATTAGAAATACCATGGCTGGGGTTAGGCACACCTTAGTCCTCAAACTGTTATCTTTGCTCTTCAATACTTTGAAGACAAGAAATCGTTTGATTTCTTGACTGCTGCCTCCGTGAGTGTTGATGGTTGATCCTAGCAAAATGAAGTCTTTGACAACTTCAATCTTTTCTCCATTGATACGGATATTGTTTTTTGATCCCGTAATGAGGATTTTTGTTTTCTCTACATTGAGGTGCAGCCCATACTGAAGGCTGTGGTCTTTGTTCTTCATCAGTAAGTATTTTAAGTCCTATTTGCTTTCAGCAAGCAAAGTTGTATCATCTACATATCACAGGTTGTTAATGAGTCTTCCTCCAATCCTGATGCCATGTTTTTCTTTATGTAATCCAGCTTCGCGGTTTATTTGTTCAGCATACAGATTGAATAAGTACGGTGAAAGACTACAACCTTGAGACACACCATCCCTAATTTTAAACCATTCGGTGTTCCCTTAGGTTCTGTTCTGCCTCTTGGTCTATGTACAGGTTCTCATGAGCACAATTAAGTGTTCCGGGTATACTCTTTCTCTGCAATGTTGTCCATAGCTTGTCATGATCCACATAATTGAAAGCCTTTGCATAGACAGTAAAGCACAGGTAAACATGGCTGTGGTATTCTGTGATCTCATCCAAGATCCATCTGATGTCGGCAATGATGTCCCTCATTCTCTGTCCTCATCTGAATCCAACTTGAACCTCTGGCAGTTCTCTGTCATGTAATGTTGCAGCCTTTTGTGTATTATCTTTAGCAAAATGTTACTTGATTGCAATATTAATGGTATTGTGTGATGATTTCCACATTCCATTGGGCCATTTCTCTTTGGAATGGGCACACATATGGATATCTTCCAGTCAGTTGACCAGGTAGCCAATTGAAATTGGTAGAAATTTGGTCTTCCAAATTTCTTGGCATAGATGAGTGAGTGCCTCCAGTGCTTCATCAGTTTTTTGAAAGATTTCAATTTGTATTCCATCAATCCCCAGTGCCTTGTTCTTTGCTAATGCCTTCAATGCACCTGACTTCTTCCTTCAGTATCATTGGCTCTTGATCATATGCTGTTTCTTAAAATGGTTGAATATCCACTGTGTCTTTTTGGTACATAATACTTTTTACATCATTCAACATTTTGCCCATAGAATCCTTCAGTATTTCAAGTCGAGGTCTGAATTTTTTCTTTAGTTCCCTCAGCTTGAGGAATCCTGAGCATGTTCTTTCCTTTTGGTTTTCTAACTCCCCATCTTTGCACATTTTGTAATAATATTTGACCTTGTCTTCCTGAGCTGCTCTTTGAAATTTTCTATTCAGCTCTTTTACCTTCTCATTTCTTCCATTTGCTTTAGTTTCTCTATGCTGAAGAGCAAGTTTCAGAGTCTCTTCTGACATCCTTTTTGGTCATATCCTTCTTTCTTGTCTTCTTAATGACCTTTTGCATTCTTCCTGTATGATGTTCTTGATGGCATCCCACAACTCTTCTGGTCTTTGGTCTTTAGTATGATGTTCTTGATGGCATCCCACAACTCTTCTGGTCTTTGGTCTTTAGTGTCAAATGTATTCAATCTGTTTTTCAGATGATCTCCAAATTCAGGTGGGGGTGTTCAAGGTTATAGTTTGGCTCTTGTTGACTTGTTTTAATTTTTTTCAGCTTCAGACCAAATTTGCATATGACCAATTGTTTGTCTGTTTCACAGTCTGCCCCTTCCTTGTCTTGTTTTGGCTGATGATATGGAGCTTTTCCACCATCTCTCTCCATAAATGTAGTCAGTTTGATTTCTGTGTATTCCATCTAGTGAGCTGCATGTGTATAATCGTCTTTATGTTGTTTAAAAAGGTATTTGCAATGAAGATGTCATCAGTCTTGCAAAATTCTATCATGTAATCTCCAGTATTGTTTATATTATCAAGGCCATATTTTCCAACTACTGATCCTTCTTCATTGTTTCTAATCTTTGCATTCCAATCACCAGTAATTATCAGTATATCTTGATTGCATATTGGATCAATTTCAGACTGAAGAAGTTTATAGAATTCTTAAATTTCATCATCACTGACTTTAATGATTGGTGTGTAAATTTGAATAATAGTGGCATTAACTGGTCTACCATGTAGGCATGTGGATATTATCCTATCACAGTGTGGTACTTCAAGACAGTTCTTGAAATGTTCTTTTTGATGATGAATGTGATTCCATTCCTCTTCAGTTTGTCATTTCTGGCATAGTAAACCAAAGGAGCTCTGGTAGCATAGTTGTTACGAATCGGGCTGCGAACCTTAAGGTCAGCGGTTCGAAACTACCAGCCGCTCCGCAAGAGAAAGATGAGGCTTTCTTCTCCCATAAAGATTTACACCCTCGGAAGCCCTGTACAGGGTCGCTATGGGTCAGAACCGACTCGACAGCACTTAACAACAACAAACCATATGATTGTCAGATTCAAAACAGTCAGTACCAGTCCATTTCAGCTCCCTAATGCCTAGGATATCAATGTGCGTTCCATTTCATTTTTGACAGTTTCCAATTTTCCTAGATTCATGCTTCGTACATTCCATGTTCCAGTTATTAATGGATGTTTATAACTCTTTCTCTTTGTTTTTAGTAGGGCCCCGTCAGCAAATCAAGCTCCTGGCAGCTTTACTCCTTTGACGTCATCACAGTCAAATCTACTTTTGAGTGGGCAGCACTTTCCCAGTCTTATTTTTTGAGTGCCTTAAAACCTGAGGGTTTCATTTCTGACACTATTTCTGACAACATTCTCATGCTCTTCATCATGTTTCAATAATGAATAATCTGGTGCTGACAGATTCATAAAATTTCCAGTGACTAAATATTCAGAAGTAGTCCATCTCTCCTTCTTCCTAGTCTCTCTTTGTCTGGAAGTTCAGCTGAAACCTGTCCACCATGGGTGACCCTGCTGGTATTTAAAATAGTCATGGCATCGCTTCCAGAATCACAGCAACACACAGGCCAGCACAGTATGACAAACTGATAGATGAGTGGTGTTTGTTCTCATGTTACCTTTAGAAAATGTTTTCCCTAGGGGGTACTTCCCCCTATCATTTTATTATGAAAATTTTCAGAGAATCAAGTTGAAATAATTTTACAGTGAACACTATGAATTTTCAAAGTTCATACTAAGTTATGGGTCCTTCCACCCTAGTCCTATCATATGTCTATCCATCCCTTTGTCTAGTTGTTAGTCCATCTTATTCCAGAGTACCTCACCAGCATTAGTATGCTTTCCCCAAATGCCTCAGCCCAGCACCATGTTTAACTGTCCTCTCTTTGTTTCAGGCCCGCTACAAGCCTGGGGTCCCCAAGTTTTGGCGTGTCCTCTGGAGCTCAGCAGTCCTTCTGTTGGCACACCTGAGACTCAAGCCCAGGTCATCTGGGAAGAGCTTGGTGTCGGCAGCAGTGGTTATCTTAATGAAAAAGAGCTGGCTCTGGTCTGCCAGAGCATTGGGCTACAAGGGCTTGAGAAAGAGGTAAGATGGGATGGATCTGCTCCAAACACTAGTTTCTAAAATGGTCAAGATTTGGTGTTTGGTCTGAAAATTCTCTTCATCCTTCAGACGCTGCTTCAACTATATCACTTTTCCACTTGAAACCCTTGGATGATTCCAAGTTTTCTGTCAAAGGCCAAATCCCAGGTTCCGTTGTGATAACCTCACCACACAGGGTTTCACCAAGCCCTTGGTGTCCTCGACTGTGCAAGGCACTCTTAATTAGCTACTTGTGATTACTCTTCGGCATGCAATACCTGTACTTTTCTGTCTGTCTGAATTGTACCGTTGGCCAAATAAGGCCTCTTCTGACCCTGTCTACACTCCCCATCAGAAGGGAACAAAGGCAGGAGTGGGTGGGTGATGCTATGTTGCAGTCCTCGCTGTCATGAAAGCTTTCTCGGCTTGAAAACTTGCTTGCCTGTGACCCACTGGAACCAGCTGACCTGTATGTGTACATCTTCTTCTAAACAGTGTCTAGTCCCAGTAGACACAGAATACTTTATTTATGGAAACCAGGAAAATTGAGCGGCTCAACTACTGACAGTGGGATGAAAAGGAACAAAGTAGTGTGAATTTCCCATGAGAAAGAGAAAGCCTTGAGTTTGGATGAAGATCAACAAGCTTGCCTTGTTGGAACCTTGAACCAGAGGGATAGAGACCTGTTGATGATGGCTGAAAGGAGCTGGTTGATAGAGCCTCAGAGCCATGCAAAGCATTCACCCTGACCCATGTGTGTGGCTTTTGTGTAGGAACTGGAGGACCTGTTTATCAAACTGGATCAAGATGGAGATGGCAGGGTGAGTCTTGAGGAATTCCAGCTTGGCCTGTTCAGTCATGGATCTACTTCACTTCTGGAATCTTCCACTCCGATCCAACCAAGCAGGCCCTGGTATCATTACCAGGTAAAATGTGACCATTAAATCTTCTTTTTTTTACTTTTTATTAGTAATTGAATGAAGGTTTACAGATAAGAACATCAGTTTTACATTCAACAAATAATGCACTTTGTTTCATCTCAATAACTGTAATTGTCTCTGTGGAACAACGGCCATCTTCTTCCTTTCTGGCTCCTGTTTCTCTTCCACCCACCTTCCCATCCCTTCTCACCATTGTCCTTAGGTACATGTTGCCCCTTTGATTTTGAATGATTGGCCATTCTATCATTCAGAGTAAGCATATCTTACTAGTATTGTTTTTACCCCTATATATCTATCTACTGCTTGGCTGAAGGTTCTCCGTATACACGTATCTACTGCCTGACTGAAAGAGCGTGTGTTCCTTTCCAGACCTGAAGGGTAGTCAAGGGCCACAGTCCCAGGTTCTTCCAGTCTCTTTCTGAACAGTAAGCCAACTTTTTTAAAAAAATACTTTTTAGTTTTGTTCCACACATTATGCCACTCTATCCAGGACCTTTTAATGTGATCCTGTTCAGGGCATTTGGTAGTGGTAGCTGGGTACCACTGGTCCCAGGGTCATGGAAGAAACTGATGTTCACATGTTCCATAAACCCGTTGGACAAATTGATTCCAAGGATCTTCAATTCTCATCACTCTTCTTTCTTCCGCACATGGAAAGACCAGTAGCTGCACCTTGGCCACTCATGAGCATTCAATAACCCAGATGCTACTCACCAAAATAGGATATAGAACACTGTCTTTGTGTACTATGTCATGCCAATTGACCATGGTGTCCCCTGAGGCTACGTTGTTGTTATGTGCCGTGGAGCCGGTTCCGACTCATAGCGATCCTGTACAGGGTTTCCGAGGCTGTAAATCTTTATGAAAGCAGAAATCCTCATCTTTCTCCCACAGAACAGCTGGTAGTTTCGAAGTGCTGACCTTGAGGTTCGCAGCCCGATTCGTAACCGCTACACTACCAGAGCTCCTTCAGGAGAACATTAGCTTTACACTTATCCTATTGTATATCATTTCATTGCCATGGTTACAGTCCCCTATGGTGACCATGAAATCTTGAACCACAGCAATAATTACTGTCATTCTGGTGACTGCAACTGGTAATGTGCGACATTTTTCATATGCCTGACCCCTCTCATTGTCACCTGAGCATGTTATCCAGGAGTTAGATGTTGTTGTTGTTGTTGTTGTTGTTGTTATGTGACATGGAATCGGTTCCAACTCATAGCAACCTTGTATAGGGTTTCTGAGGCTGTAAATCTTTACAGGAGCAGAAAGCCTCATCTTTCTCCCATGGAACAGCTGGTAGTTTCAAACTGCTGACCGTGAGGTTCACAATATAATTTGTAACCACTACACTACCAGAGCTTATTTAGCATGCAGGATACATGGATATAAGAAGCCCCAGATGGAGATAACACCACGAGAAGCAGGTAGGCCTGATGCAGATGATCCAGCTTGACAGCCCCTTCCTATACTATCAGTCCTCAGAAGAAGCAGATAGGGGGATTATAAGAGGTCCAATTACATTTGAGTATCTGAGTTTCTCTGTAGGTGGCCATGCGCAAGTCCTGAGCATTCTTGAGCTTCCGTCTCCCCACCTATAAATGCAGTCAAATATCTGCTTTGTAGGTTTGTACAATTAGTATACTTTAGTAAGCTCAGTAGACACTTGTTCTTTCAGTAGAGTGGTGGCATCTCAACTAAGGACAGGCCAAAAGGTGATCCTGCCCTCCTGGGGTAAAGCCTGACTTGAGGAAGTGCTTTACCATGGGGGTCACTAGAGAAGAACTACATGAGTCAGGGATGAGTCAGTAGGGTCAAGTGGAGCATATTTTAGGCTTGCAATGTTTAACAAACAGCAAGGAATCCTGGGATCTGGAGCTCATCTAACAAGGAGTACAAGAGGAGGCAAGCTCAGAGTGTTCACACTAGGCAATGAAGGTCCCAGATCCATATCCCAGCTAGTGACAGGAGCTGGGGAGACCAAGAGGGCTGAGCAGGCTGTAATAAGGTAAATTTTTCTGTGAATGTGGTGAGAGGCTTGAAACAGAAGTCATATAGCCTTCAGGCTCCCTGGGTTTCTAGACAGCATGTATTTATTGGGAAGGACTCTGGGACAGGAAAAAACTAAGAAAACCCTTTCTTACCTTGTAGATTCATAGAGTACCTGAACCTAGCAGGTCAGCTTTTCCACTTGAGAGAATTTTTACCTTCATCTTAAAACTCCCTTAGGTTGCTTAGTTGAAAGCTATATGCTTTCTCATGTCTGGGACATCCCAGTCTACTTTTGGAACCCTTCATGAGTTTCCCAATGATGGCAGGAATCTTCTCAACCTCTGCCTGTGTGAAGCCTCATACTTTGTTCCTTATTCAGGGAAGAGACACTGTGCCACACATTAACCAGCCAGGGTACAGAGAAGACCTGAGTGTGGTTGTACAGTGAATCCACCTTCTTGTCCCAGTACAGCCCAGCTCTGCATTTACAGAGCTGTACATATTTTGATGAGTCACATCATTGTGCCTTTGACCAGAAAGTAGAGATAGCATCCTCGCAAGGATGTCCCTGTTAGGCCTTCGTGGGAAGCAAGTACCGAGTGCAGGCTTATGTGATGTGAGAAATAAACAGATACTCGTGGGATTTCAGCAGATGTGTGAGCTCACAAGCACCTTCTTGGGTCCTCAACCTGCAGGCCACAGAGGAAAGCAGCTGCCGGACCACCACAACCTCATCCCTTGTGTCTATCTGCTCGGGCCTGCATCTCTTCTCCAGCATCAATGACGGTAGTGGATTTGCATCTCCTGAGCAGGTCGTCGCTGTGTGGGCCCAGGAAGGGATTCAGAATGGCAAGGAGATCTTGCAGGTTTGGAAATAGATCTCTATGACTGCCACAATGGGTGGGCTGGTGGTGGGACAAGAGCCCTGGAGGCTTACTGTGCTTGGCCTTTGCTCTCTGACTAACTTCCTTATGCCATATCAGAGAAGCCCATATAGGTTAGTCAGTGGGAAACTTTTTTTTTGACTATTAAAATAAAAAGTAAAACTCAAACCGACTGCCATCAAGTTAATTCTGACTCACAGTGACCTTCCATAAGGCTTTGAGACGGTAAATCTTTACTGGAGCAGACAGCCTTATCTTTCACCCATGAAGTGGCTGCTGGATTTGAACCACCAACCTTGCAGTTAGCAGCCTAATGCCTATTTTTAAATTAAAATATAGGAATTTTTCATTTTAAAAGATTATGGATTAAATGCAGAAAAAATAACAGTCTGATAACACATTTGAAGGTACATTTTTGGGTCTTAGCTCATTTCTCCAGTACCATGTTAATTTTTGAGACTGTTCACTAGGACAAGTGCAGTCACTTCTACAGGTGTGTGAACAGAAATACCCTTTGTGGCACAGTGAACTTGAATTCTTTATGAGTCTCTTTCCCAATAAGACCTACATGCCCCTGGTCCCCACTAACCCTCCTCTGTAGCCGTGGATTTTCCTCCTAACATTCTTCCTTCCATTGTCACCTGAAGCCAGGCCAGGAGGCCATCTTTAGAAAGACCAGGTTTTTTCTTGGTGTCTCATTTTGCCCAGATACCCAGGATAAGTCCCTTAAAACTTGGAACAAGCACTTCTCTGATGCAGCAAAGTTAGGTATGAACAGAGCCAACCTTGTGGGAGGGGGCCTATGGAGAGCTACTGAGGCTGGGCCCCAGCAACAAGCTGCTGTTCTCTCTGGGGAACCAAGTCCTTCCCTTAAAAGATATTTAGCATTTTTAATTCCAGATTTCACTTCTGATTATAAAACGCTGTACAGGAATACATAGAATAAAAGAGAAAGCCTCTCCCATTTAGCCCTGCACTGTTCCCAGAGGTACCATGCAGAGCACTCTTCTTATGCATAGATTAAATACGTACAAGTGTGCTTAAAAAGTTCCTGGAAAAATGTAATTAAAGGATCATGAAACTTTTCATAAACCTCTTGAAGTCCCCTCATGTTTATATATACTGTGTTAAGTGTGGTGGGGTGTTTTTTTTTTTGCAGAATTGCTCATACTCTGAAGTATGTTTTGTTAGTTTCTATGACATTTTCCTACTATTGAACAGGCATGCAAACATACATTTTAATTATTTTAAATCCTGGTACTTAAATACCTGTATTCCTTCATACTCCTATGCTGATGTTTCTATAAGATTGTTGTTGTTAAATGCCGTCGAGTTGGTTCTAACTCACAGCGACCCCTCTAGAAGGTTTCCCAGGAGCAGCTGTTGGGTGTGAACCACCAACCTTGAGGTTAACAGTACAGCATTTATCTTACATCGCCAAACCAGAACCCTTAAAGTAATCTGTACTTAGACTGTTGATAAGTTCTGTCAAATTGCCTCCCAAAATATTCCTTCTGGCACAAACTTTAGTACACAAAGGAGCCCAACATCAGCCTTTTAAAACCAGTGTGGCTAATCCTTCAATAGAGTCCTCCAAGGTTTCATCTCACAGCTCAGAATCTCAGATAGCCAGCAACTGTATAGGATCTGTACCATAGAACCAGACCTGAAGATGGGTTTCAGGATTTTTTTGAAAGCCGTAGGCCAAACCAGCATGTCTAAAAATGCACCCCATGGGTAAATTGCAAAGAGAAAAACATCGTCATTTTGGAGCTCCTCTCTGCAAGCCCACTCTCAACTCCAGGGCATTTAGAGGTGCACTGGTTATTATAATAGTCTGACCAGTGGTAAGTGTCATCCTTGTTTCTCACATTGCAGGGTTTCCTTTTTTATTGCTTTTCAACAATGTTGTTGTGAGTGCCTTCAAGTCCATTCTGACTCATAGTGACCCTGTAATAGGGTTTCCAAAGAGTGTCTGGTGGGTTTGAACCTTTAACCTTGTGATTAGCAAGCAGTCCAGGGCTTATCCTACAGCATCACACCTTTGTAATTAGCAGTTGTTCTCAGGTTTTGATTTTGACAAGTTTTCCATTTTCTTTTTATTGAAAATGAAGCAATATTTATTGAACTCCTTATGCACGTAAGTCCCAAGCAGGAAGCTTTCTATATGTGACTTGATTGCATTTTGATAACAGCCCTATATGGAATTAGTCCTCTCATTTTACAAGTGAGGTGGCTTGAGACTCAGCTAGTGAGAATGATCACATAGATCACTGAATCAGGCAAAATCTTTTCTGCATACAACACTATTGAGAATTACTTACCTGCAACACTGCTCCTCAAAACCAAGGCTATTGACCTCTCAGAGAGAGACCTGGGTACTTACAGGAATCCCCCAGCAAGGACAGCCTGTGCTATGCTTATCATATACCTAGCTTCTCTTGAACTCTAGTTGCTTTAGTTGTATTTTTTACCTGTGCCCAAGATAGTGCCTGAGATAGCACTGCTCATTCTTTGGGTGCTCTGGAAGGACACCCTGTAATAGATGTATACTATTTCTCAACAGAGTATAACTCAATTGTGCCTTAAAACACAATGGACATCCATTGTCTCATACATTTTCTGTATATCAGGAATTAGGAAGAACTGTGCTTCATGGTTCTAGTGTGGAGTCTCTCAGTAGGTTACAGTCAGATGTCAGCCAGTGCTGTTGACATCTGAAGCCCCAAATGGAGCTGAAGAGCTGCTTCCAAGATGACTGGTTCACATGTTGGGTAAGGTGATTCAGCATTCTCTGTGGGGCTGCTTCACATCATGGCTACTGACTCTTGGAGTTAGGCATAAGCACATGTCTTTTATGACCTAACCTAAAGTTCCCAATCCCTTATTTCCTCAATATTCTACTGGTCACATAGGCCAGCACTCTCTTGTGTGGGATGGGAATACACAGAACTTAGACACCAGCAGGCAAGGACAACTGGTACCATCTTGGAGACATGCTTCACACAGCCTACTCTTGTTTTTGGCGACTCCCTTTTAGATCAGAAGCTGTTGCTATGACTTATCTCTGTTATGTCTTTGTAACCCATCAAGTACTATTATTGCTGCGAAATTTGCATGTGTGCAATAACAGATTGAGTTTCCCAGACTGCTCCAAGTACTTCTTCACCTATAATGTCATTTTTCTTCAGAAACACTCTGGGAAATGAGGAAGCAGCAGAAAATCCATAGCCTTATTTTATAGATTTAAAAAAGGAAACCTACATGGTTTTGACATAGGAGCTGGGAATGTATACATTATCTGGTAGACTCTGATTTGTCTCCTTCTGCTGGACTTAGTGTAAGTTTATAGTGGGAAGCAGTAGTCAAGAATGCCTAAAGAATAAAATGTGGCACTATGGTAATTATTAATCATTCGAGCTGAAGGGCATATGGGCATTCATTGTTCTGTTCTTTGTATATTGTTGTTATTAAGTGCCTTGTATACAACCCTGTATAGGGTTTCTATGTGGGAGCAAAAAGCCTCATCTTTCTTCCACAGAGAGACTGACAGGTTCAGACCACAGACCCTATGGTTCACAGTCCAGTACTTATCATATGGTTAAATGCATGTAGCATGTTGTTTGTTTTTTATTTCTTTTTCAAAATTCTGGAGGGAAAGGAAGTTTCCACTCTCCGGAATACTTTTGGCCATGGTTCATCTCCTTCTCTGATGCATCATTTTTCTACCAACAAAATCACTGATCGGTACGTGTGTTTCATGGAGACATGAAATACGTGTCAGGATTCTTTACATATGTCACATCTCAGGAACCTCATTCAGGATTCTTTTAGTTTGAAATGGCAAAAACCCAACTCAAAACAGCATAAAGGAGAATGTTAGTAACTTACCACCACTAGCTTTAAGTGCTCACATCAGGACTCTCTGTTCCAAATCATCTATGTTTCCTTCTCGAGTGACGTTAACCTCAGGTTAAGTCTCCTCGTTAGGGCTCTATAAGGCTTCCACAATTCTGATGATTGATTTCAGAGGGGAATAAAGGACCTCGCCTTCTCTGTTAATCCCCATGAAGTGCATGCCCATGCTTATGTGTTCCTGGGTAGGCAGACACAGTTGAACCCCTGTACAACAGCCCTATCAGAGTTCCTGGGAATTAGAATGTGGAGGGCCCTTCCCAAAAGGAAAAGATGTGGGCAGGTGGGAAATCTGCAGGCACTCCGGCAATAGGAAAACAAATTGGCGTATGGGACTGTCCCTTGTAAAGCCAAAATATGTCTCTTTAGAGAAGTAAACTCATGTTGCATACCCCTTGGGGTTTGTTATTTCTAGAGCCTTGACTTTCGTGTGGATGAAAAAGTGGACCTTCTGGAGCTGTCCTGGGCTTTCGACAACGAACTCATGATGGTCACTGGTGTCATTCAGCAAGCAGCCCTGGCCTCGTATCATCAGGAGCTGACCTACCTCCAGTAAGAGACTGTGACGGCTTGTGGCCGGCTCTGCGGGTGCATGCTGGCCAAGCTGACTTCAGGGGAGTCCAGGGCTACCTACTTTCTCACTCTTGTCAACTCTAAATGGGCAATCCTGGGGTGGAGCCTCCATAGTCAGTACTTATAGTGGGACAAAAAAAAAAGGGTGGGGAGCATTTCTAGTATAGCGATATGGACATTGGACATATGGAGCAAATGGCCTGTTCAGGGCTGCCTACTTGGATTTTTATTGCCATGGAATTTTGGGGTTGCCCAGCCTTTCTGTATACTGGGTGAGAAGCTTAAAATACTGTATCTCAGGGTCCTCACCTAATTCTTTAGCAAGTTCTCAATTAGCAGTATCCACACTTAAAACTCATCTGATTAACATTGTGCTTGCTAGCATAGAGGTAGAAACCCCCTTCAGCTAAAAGTGTTTTTGAGGCTAGCCAGCATGGTCCCTGGACTTGAGCCAACTGACTGAAGGCACGAAAAAATCCTTCTCAGACCTTTTCGCTGAGGGCAAGGCAGTAGCTGAGCCAGGAATCCCATGTTCTGTTAGAGCAGAGATCTGCTTTGACTCAGCTGGTTATTCATGCTGCAAAATTGTTGCCATTTACTGTAAGGTAACTTTTGAAGTCATTCTGTGTATCAGTCTCAATGACAAATATCTGTGGGTGTATGTTATTAATAGCAATTGTTTATTGAGCACATGCTTTGCTTAGGCAAAGTGCCTGACATTGTCTCCTTTAATTCTATTAGCATATCTTTATAGACAGAGAAACTGAGTCATAGAGATTGAGTGAGTAACTTGCCCAAGACACCCTTGTGATTACCCAGTTGTACTGGGTTAAACCCTGATGTCAACAAGGACAAAATTAATATGCAATTAAAGACAAAAGTCTCTTCAGAATTGCATCCAATGCAACTTGATATCTCTGAACTTCTGAGCATTTCCTTAAGTGTAACCTTGTTAAGAACATCATCTTAGGTGCTGAGTTATTCAAAAGAAGCAAGAAATAGTGATCTCGATCCTAAAGACTGCAGTCTCCTTAGGTACTGCTGATGTTTCTGTTGGGTGCTGTCGAGTCATATCCAACTCATAGCGACCCTGTATAGGGTGGCAGATAATAGGTCTGATCTCAGGTAGCCTTACAACTAAAATGAAAGAATGATTGTACCCAAGTGTCTACCTTTGCCATGGAAGGGAGAAAAGCTTGGTGTTCCTTTGACAATGGGAGAACCATTCACCAAAATAGTAGATATCCCAGGGCAATTTTCATAGAATTTCAGCCATGACCTTGGGTGGCCACGCACACGAACCACCTTTCATGGGTGACTCATGTGCACTCATTTAGATGCCAGACTGCTGTGTGGCAAGACTGTGACCAGGCAGAGCTGACAGCCTCCTCCTCCCTTCATGCATCCAACCCCGGACTAGGTGTCAGGGATACAAGGGACATGCTGCTTAGCTGAAGATAGCAGGATGTATGGGTAATTGCTCATGTGTTCTGGGGCTGTCTGGAGGTATGATTCCCTAGCAGGGTTGAATGAGACTCCCTGGATTCAGAAACTTCCTAGAAACAAGTAATTTACACCTCTGTAAAACTTGACACAGTTGTAGAACCAACTAGCTTTAGAAAGCTCAGAGACCATGCCAGCCCAGACTCAGCACCATTCATGGTGACTGTTTTTATCATTTATGTAGCTTTCAGGGCCTGGTACAGGATGTACATTTCTGTGGCAGGTCATCTGTATTTGACCATGTCTCCTTCCTATGAGCAGAGGGCAAATGAAGCAAATGGTGAAGGAGCGAGACAAGGCAAGGGAGGACCTGGAGAAGGCTGAGAAGAGGAACTTGGAGTTTGTGACGGAGATGGATGACTGTCACTCTGCCATGGAACAGCTCGCTGAGCGCAAGATCAAGTAGGTGCCACTGGGGTGCAGCTCCTGGGATCAGAACCTGGTGTAGCAGCCTTTCTAGAGCCACAGTGAGACCTGGTGTCTCTGGCCCTGACCAGAGGAAGGATGAAAGACACAGCCACCCAGATAGCAGGACTATAATTCATTACCACCTTCTGGTTAGTTGTTATGAAGTGTCATAGGGTTGGTTCCAACTCACAGTGACCCTGTGTAGGATTTCTGAGGCTATAAAGCTCTGATAGCATAGTGGTTACAAATCAGGCTACGAACCTTAAGGTCAGCAGTTTGAAACTACTAGCTATTCCGCGGGAGAAAGATGAGGCTTTCTGCTCCTGTAAAGATTTATGGTCTTGGAAACCCTGTGCAGGGTCGCTATGAGTCAGAACCACATCCACGGCACACAACCACCACCAAAGTTGTGCAGGAGCCAAAAAACCTCATCTTTCTCCCACAGAGCAGCTGGTGGGCTCAAACTGTCAACCTTGTAATTCGCAGACCAGGGCTTATCTTTCAAAGCCACTGCACTCCCAGTTAGTTGAGACCCTCCTATTTTACCTAAGCCAGTAGAAACCAAAAAATGCAACTTTGGTTTTGTACAATTAGTTAGAGCCCTACAGAGAAATAGCCAATAAGAAAGATATGGATGGATCAATGTGTGGATGGATGGGTAGAAAATACTTATTTTAAGAAATTGGCTCATAGGATTATGATGACTGGCAGGTCCAGAATCTCCAGGTCAGGCATCAGACAGGAGATTCCTATAGGATGTCTACAGTCAAGAAACTGAATCCTTCTCCCTCCAGAAACCTCAGCATCTACTCTTAAGGCCTTTCAATTTAATTGGATAAAATCTGCTTACATCATGGAGGGTGATTTGCTTTACTTAAGACTGACTGATTTAAATGTTAATCTCCTGTAAGTGCTTTTATAGCAATCGTTTGACTAGTGTGTAACCAAATATCTGGCACCAGGACCTAACTGAATGCCCACATGAAGCTAGCCATCACAGGACTGTCCTTCCTTGAAAGAAAAGACTGCAGTAGAAGCATGGAGTCTACTGTGTAAATGGGGCTGGTGTAGTATGCAGTGGCTTGTCACTGTGTGTGCCTGTGGACTGCAGTGAACCCTTTCCACCCTCTCCTTACTGCCCTGCTCTCACTGAGACCATTAACCAGCTCAGGTGTATGCTTGTGATTAGTGAATGGGGTGGGCAGTTTGCAAAGTGGATTCACAAATGGCTTCAAAGACCACAAGCGGACCTCACAAAAATAGCCTTTGTTGTTGTTGTTGTTGTTAAGTGCCATTGGATTAGTTCCAACTCATAGCAACCCTGTATAGCACCTGAGCAGCGGCTGGTGAGTTTGAACTGCCAATCTTGTAGTCTAGTGCTTGTCCTATAGCATCACACCAGGACCCTTCATCACCCTTGGTATGAGCATTTCTGGGTAGGGCTCTCCATGGTGTTTTCAGTGGTGGTGGGCAGGCCAGAGGAAAGGTTATAAGAAAACCTAGCCATTCAGATCTCCACAGTTCATCAAGGAGAGGGGTTTCTTCATTCCCACTGGAGGGAAGAGTCTTTGTCGGAAGCTCCTGCCGTACTCAGCAGGTTGCTAACCTTCCCAAATCCCTTGCTCACCCAAAGTGCTCTCCTGGAGCCTGCTGAGGTTGCAAAAATGGTCTTCTACATTACCAGCTCTCCTCAGCAGTACTTGTGACAGGGGTCAAGAAATCTTTGCTGTCTGCTGCTTGGCCTGTCCTCCCTCACTAAAAGGAGGGAGATCTGTGGAATATGCCCATTTAGAATCCTGCTCTGTTTCCCCTTGCTCCTTAGGTGAGCTACGTCCTTTGGGCTCTTCATCTCTAACACAAGATTGGTGATAGGCACTCTCCAGCATGGAGAGGCAAGTAGAACAGTATGTTTTATGGTTTCCAGTTCTGATGACTGCACACAAGACCAGTTGTGTGCCTCAGAAAATGCAGAGAAGAAGGGAGAAGTAATAACCAAAATGATTCAGAGGCCTTATTCACACCTTTTGGTGAGAAGGCTGGCCTCTTAGATAGTACCTTGGCTGTGTGTGTAGGGCGGGAGGGGAGGGGTGTTCTCAGAAGGACCAGCCATTGAGGTGGCAGCCCTGTTCTCATAGATAGTTGACCACCTTATATTAGACAGGAGACCACAAAGGCCAAAACTGTGTGGTGCCTAAGCCAGGGACCACAAAAGCTTCGAGAATGCATGACCATGTGCAACACCCAGAGAAGTGGCCTGGGGTGACAGCCCAAGAGGCCCTCTTGGACTCTTCTTTGTGTGTATTGTAGACACCTGGAGCAGGGATACCATGGACAGTTGGCCCTGCTTCGCTCAGAGATGGAGATGGAGCGAGAGCTGCTCTGGCAGCAGGCCAGCATTCAGAGGGCTAGGCTGGAGGACGACCTCACAGCCCTGGGCAAGGAGGAGGCCTGCCTGCGGGAGAAGCTGTCACTAGCCATAAAGGTAGGAGGGTGCTACCCAAGGAAAAGACAGATGCAAGAATCTGGGGAGAACGTGAAACTTAGCCCTCCTCATCCATGTTCCCTGTCCATAGCCATAGCCCGACCAGAACCCCATGGTTTTCAAACTAAGCGAAAAATTTTCACATGGGAGTGTGTATTGCTCAGCCAAAGCAGAAATAACTGTTTTCATATTTGTAGCCAGACAAGTGAGAAGGCACTTAAGGGGTACTGATATGGTTCAGGCAAGCATCTGATATTATTAATGCCTATATGTACAGGGTCGCTATGGGTCGGAACTGACTCGACGGCACTTAACAACAACAACAACAACATAGTCTAAGGCAGGTGGCTGGAGAAGGCAGACTCAGGTCTGGGAGCTAGCACTGCCCCTTCAGGTTCCCAGTATTCTAAGAGGATGGCCAAGGTGATGCAAAGCCTCCAGGGCTCTTACCCTCTGCTCTGGGCTAGTGAATGGGGGTCAGGGAAGGGCAGCAGCAGTAACTATTACTCCTTCACTCCCACAGACCAGAAGCACATTGTGGGGTTAACCAAAAAGACCAGAACCTCCTGACAGGAGCCCCATTGTATGTCCTGGAGAAGAGGGAGTTTGTGAGCCTGTGAGAGTGACATACAACCCTTTCAGAGCCTGCATCTTACCTTAGTCAGCCTATCCCTCAAGAGAGAAGGGCCATGTTTCTATGCACCAGCTGTAAGCCTCCAGAGAGAGGATGATGCAGCAGATGCGGGGTAGACTAAGCTGAGCTGAATGTCCCATGTGGCCTCCATTCTGGAACCTTCCTTGCCTCTCTTTTCTTTCTAATCCAGCCCTAGCTGTGGTTTCTCCCCGGCTTCTGCCTGCCTTCTCTCCCTTGATTTCTTTCTCTGATGCCCAGCTCCTTTTCAAGTCCTTTGAACACTCAGTAGAGCCTTGGGTCTTGGTTTTGCATTATATCCCAGAAACAATTCCACATCCCCTTGAATTCTTGCCAAAGCTTCCTGGTATCCACAAATATTAGGCTTCTCCCTTCATGGAGAGCTGGGCTGTATTGGTACAATTTCAAATCCCTCGTTTAAAAACACAGTCAGAAATGCGTTTCTAGCCTTTCTCCTAGCTTGTAGCTTTATTGAGTTCCTAGAGCCAGAGAAGCTGAGATAGTGGGAAAGCATTGAGGTCCAAGTTTCTGGCTACCCAGATTCCACCTACACAGTGTAGGCTCTCTCTCAAGGATGCTACTTGCCTGACTGACACTTCTGAAAGCGACCATATCCCTTAAGGAGAGGTGAAAAACAATTGTCATTGCTTCCTTCTCTGCATTCTTCACCGTATAAACCACTCACCCACATCTTGTAGGAAAACAGTCAGTTACAGAAGGAGATCTTTGAAGTTGTGGAAAAACACTCCAAAACAGAGAAGCTGGTCCTGAAACTGCAGAATGAACTTGAATTTGTGCTGAAGGACAAGGCAAGTGCTTCCACTCATTCTAAACCTCTTTTCAGCTAGATACCATGGCCAGGAGGATGGGCATGTCTGGAAAAAGATACATGGATGATGGAACTTACCTTTTATTCTTACTGAAAATTCTAGAATGAGAGAAATCAATATAATGTCTTTCCCTGTTGTTGTTGTAATGTGCCGTGGAGTCGGTTCCGACTCATAGCAACCCTGTACAGGGTTTCTGACGCTGTAAATATTTACATGAGCAGAAAGCCTCATCTTTCTCCCACGGAACAGCTGGTAGTTTCGAACTGCTGACCCTGAGGTTCACAGCCCGATTCGTAACCACTATGCTACCAGAGCTCCTAGTCCCCCCTTTTGTTTAAGTCATTGTGACCCAGAACTGCCCAACATAGGATATAATGTAGTAATGGGCCAGTACCTACTAATGCCACTTGGTTCTAGTGGTCCTTGGTGGTCAGAGAGGTTAAAGGAAAACTTAGAACTTAGAGCCCTCACCTGTGAGCCCCCACTGACCTGATCTGCCCTCAAGCCCTCTGGAGTAGGAGGAGAGAGGAAGTGCAGGGACAAGGCAGGAGGGCCTCCCAGGCATCACAAGATAAGTCTGGAAAATCATTCTATCCCCAAGATCTTTTAAACAAGACTAGGGGTAGGTGGACTAATTACCTATTCCTGGTGATACTAGAGGGTGGAGTTCAGAGAGAAGGTGAGGAAGTAGCCCCCAGGGGCCTCAGCATTCTCTGCCATTGTTGCTTTCTTTTGGGGTCTGACTTCAGCTGGATCCACATGGCATGGAGCTCCTCTCTCAGGAAGAACGGTTTGCAGAAATTCTGAAGGAGTATGAATTCAAGTGCAGGGTATGTATGTGCCTGGAGAAGCTTGGGCATGAGAGGGGAAGACCCTCCCCTCCCATCACCCCCAGCCTCACCCCACCCTCCCTTTTGTCATTCATGAGCAGTCTTAAGTGGATCTAGTGTTGAATCAGGTGTTTCAGCATTTCTGTTGTTGGTACACAAGCCTTCACTCCTACCCAGTTCCATCCCTTCCCCAGGCCATTTTGAAGTGGGTCTGGACTGGCAAGTGTGGGGAGCTTTGGTTTTGCTCTAAGAGTGTGATCCTTTGGCTGCAACCGGCGGGTCTCTAAACCTCCAGTACTAAAAGACCCCACTGCTTGCCCCACTGTACCGGCTGCTAAGAACGTGCACCCATTAGAATGGCCAGAGCTGCAGGTGATCATTGTCTGTCCAGTTCAAACTTGGTGGTGACTGTGAGTGGCCTGAGGTTTGAGTAGGCCATTCTCATAGCCTTCCTGTGAAGAACAGTATGCAGGAGCCCTCCTGGAGTGCCTTCTTGAAACAAAATGTACCCAGCCTCTCCTCCTGGCCTTAAGTCTGCCAAGCAGTGCCCCAGAATCATTGTGTCCATGTACTGCGTGGAGAGAGTCAGCCTGCCATCCCACAGAGACCTTCTGTGTCACAATCACACAGATGTCCTGGGGGGCCGTGCCCAGATCCCCTGACTGGACACTTGCTGTCCCTCTGCGTGGTACCTTCTGAATTTTCAGGCATAAGCTGAGCCCTTTGTGCTATGTTTAGCTTTTTATAGATTTTCTGTGCCAGACCTACCAATATATAAGGGTACATCACAAAAGTATTGTTAGAAAATCCTAGAAACTTTATGTAACAAAAATATCAAGATGCAAAACTATTGTTTCTTGACAGAACCTCCATCTAAGTCTGTACACTTCTGAAGGTGGTGTTTGCGTCTCTAACGCTTCCCTGAAGAATTTTGTGCTCTTCAATTTATAGCACATCAAAAGAGCAGTTTAGACATCCCTGAGGAGTCCTTGAGGGACTCAAATCATTTTCCTTTTTAATGTTCTTTGAATTTCGGGAACAGAAAGAAATCTGAAGGGGCAAGATCAGCACTGTAAGGGTTGTTGTTGTTAAGTGCCGTCAAGTTGATTCCGACCCATAGTGACCCTGTATAGGGTTTCCAAGGAGCAGCTGGTGAATTTGAACCACTGACATTGCAATTCAAACGACTCTGTAGTCTGATGCATTAGCCCACAGCACCACACCAGGACTCCACTGTAAGGGGAGATGGGATAATGTTTCACAACTAATTCCTTGTAGGATATAGCCCTTGCTACCCTCAAAGAATGAGCAGATGCATTTCCTCAGCACAACTTTCCTAGCCTTTTTCTCACCAGTGCAATTTTCAGTGTTCCTAAAACTTCTTCCTAATAAGCCTCCTTGGTCATCATGTATCCTTTGAGAAAGCCTATTAAAATGACTCCTTTGGAATTCCAAAAAATAATTGCCATAATTTTTTTAGTTGAATCTCTGCCTTGAATTTAACTGGCCTTTGAAAGCCGCGGTTTTGATTGGCCCTTTTTTTTTTTTTTTTTTAAGATGTCCTGAGGAGCTCTGGTAGCATAGTGGTTACAAATAGGGCTGCTAACTTCAAGGTTGGTAGTTCAAAACTACCAGCTGTTCCCCGGGAGAAAGATGAAGCTTTCTGCTCCCGTAAAGACTTACAGCCTCAGAAACCCTGTGCAGGGTCACTATGAGTCGGAACTGACTCCACAGTACTTAACAACCACAACAAGGAGACCAAGACAAGTGTATCGCTGAGAGAAGTCTGCAGCCAATCCCTGATCACAGAGACAGGTTTAGACACATTTTGTTTGGAATAAACCTGCACATGTATGTACTAGAATCTTATTAGCAATATGTTTTGACTTACTCTTCTACATCTTGCATATTTTAGGGATTCCTAAAGTAGGGGTGGTTGCAATAACATCTGTTGGGTCATGATCAAATATCTCAACCGATTAGAACATTTCCAGGGATTCAAATCTTAGGTGATGGAAATGGCGGAACACGGGAAGGTTGTGAACCACATCCACAATGTTAAAACTGGTTTCTCATAACCTATTTACACTCTTAAAAATTATTGGTGTTTCCAAAACGTTTTTGATGATATAGGCTATGTGGATTATATTAATATTTACCATGTTGTTGTTGTTAAGTGCTATTAAGTCCGGTCAGTTTTGACCCATAGCAGTCCTGCATAGGTTTTCCAAGAAGCAACTGGTGATTTGGAACTGCCAACCTTGTGGTTCAAGCCAGTCTTGTAGTCCAGTGCTTTATCCCACAGAGCTACACCAGGACTCCAAATATTTACCATATCATAAGTTAAATGGAGAATTTAAAACTTCATGAACTCATTTTAAAATAGTAAATAAACTAGTTAACTTAATGTTGTTGTTAAGAGTCAATTCTAACCCATAACGACCCTGTACAGGGATTCCCAGGCTGTAAATCTTTATGGGAGCAGAAAACTTCATCTTTCTCCCACGGAACCACTGGTAGTTTTGAACTGCTGACCATGAGATTAATAGCCCGACTCCTAACCACTACACTACCGGAGCTCCTTAAGTGAACATTATAGCAACTTAAAATAAGTAAGCATATACATGAATAATTTCTTTTCTAAAACTCAGCACAAGGCTGGGCCATATGAGGTAGAGGTTAAAGATACCTCAAACGTCTGACTTTTCCATCATGTTTACCATTTCATAATCCTTAATATTGATCACCACTCATGTCCCAGGATTCTGCAATATGCTCCAACATCTCAGAAAATTCACAACTGTCAAAGGAAGTGGCTCACACAATTTTGGAGGCTGGCAAGTCTCAAATCCATAGTTCAGAGGTCAGTCTGAAGAATTTTTCTCACCCATGTAGTCTCAGGAGCTGAGGAACTCAAATCAACAG